TCAGCCGCCCCTCCCAGCTCTCGCAGCGTCGCCCGAGTCGGAAACGTGGAGGCGGAGGGGGCTGGTCTGGCGTGGGTGGGGGGTACAGGGCAGGCCCTTGGACCCCAGGGTTGCTGGGTTCTCCCAAACTGGGATGCGCTTAGTGCTCAGCGCGGCTCCCCGCCCCTGCAGAATTCTCCTGGGGCTCGTTCCCTCGCCTCCCCTCCCCCCCACCCACCCCCTTTCTGACCTTGGGATGGGAACCGAGTGCCTGCCCTGTTCTGGGCTGAAGAGGCAGCAGCGACGGCTCCGCGGTCCCGGTGTTGGTGGAGCGGAACTGTCCCAAGCACGTGCTGCTGGAGTCAGACCCCTAGGTAGCTGCACGTGTCTTAACCTCGGGCTCTTCATAGGAAAAGCCGCGATAAGAACACTACAAACCCACTTAAAGGCTTAAGTGAGAACACAAAGAGCCTAGCACAGAGCCTGGCACTCGGCGCACGTCCCATCAATGGTAGGCCTTACTACGCGCCCCCTTGGCCCCAGCGCCCGGCATCGTGGCCTGCGCGCAGCCTGCCTCCTGGGTGAGGGATTTCTTACAGGGCAGTGGACGCGGCGATGGTCATCCCAGAACTTGGATTTCGGGTGAGTCTGGAGATGTGGGAAGCAAGGAGAACCATCCTGGGAAGTGATGGGAGATCCCGGGTGGAGGACACCCCCACTTTGGGCTTGGAGTGAATCCCTGTCTCTCGCACTGAATAGGCACTAAACAGGCACTAAATAAACGGCCGATGGGCGCTCCTCGCGGTGAGCTGGGTGCACGGTTCACGGGTGGGGTTCCAGCGGCTGGAAGAGGAGGAAGGCAGGCATCACAGAGAGCTCGCCGGCCCTGCGCCTAGCGAATGACAGACTCAGAGGCAGGTCTGCAGACTCTGTCCATCCACTGCGCCCCAACGTGCCTGCGACTGTGCGGCTGGGCCTCCAGGTTGGAAGCTGGGTCCCTTTCCGTGGGAAGCGGAGAAACTAGAGCAAATCTAATGGCTACTGACAGAGCGGTCAACAGGTTAGCATTTAATGGCCTCCGGGTCGAGATCGGCTACATACGTAGCTGCACCAAAGCGCAAAATGAAAACGCAGGGCTGTCTTTTGTTGAAAAATCATTAAGAATTTCAAGATAGCAAGAGCAGAGCACCAAGCCAAGTGTGAGGCTCTCCTGAGTACAGGAGCCCGGGCAACAGTAGAGGTTGCACAGCTGTCAATCAGCCCTGCTCTGGGTATAGGCCTTACCACTCTCTCTTTTACTTAAATAGTCTGTCTTCCGGGATAAAGCCACGGAAGTAAGGGATTCCATTACTCAGAGGGGAGCACAGTTCCTACCCTATGCCACGCTTCAGTA